TTTTTTAAAAATAATCAATAATATATATAGAATTGATTTCTATGTATATTTGTATAACAATACAAATAGTTTATAGTAAATTTTAAATTCTTATAGGATTAAAAAAAATGTATTTAAATATGTAAGATAATCAATAAAAGCTTGTTTATTTCTTTTACTAATATAAATTTTATCAGATAATAAGAGAGAAAGATCTTATTTTAAATAAATAACAATTTTTTTACTATTTGAAAATTTATTACTTATATCTTATTGATTTTATAAAATTTAATTTATAGATTAAACCAATCGAAAGAGTGAAATAGAAATAGAATATTAATCAATTCTTTCTATCATCAATAATATTATCAAAATGTATAAGATAATCAATAAAAACTTGTTTATATTAAGCTACTAACATATTTTATATTCATCAATCATATTTTGTAATAGGTTGTATTATTTAAAATTCAAAATTAAATTAAAATAGACAAATTTTTTCAAAAAAATTAAATAATTTTGAGCAACTATAAGAGAAAAGATATAATAGCAAATATTTTGAGAATATAGTTTGATATTTATTATTTCTTACTATAGAAAATCTTTATAGACATACTTCAATATAAAATACTTTAAATATTATATTATTAGTATTTCTTTCTTACAAAACTTTCTTGCTATAGATAAATAAAATATTTTTTGACTTTTTTAGATTAGAGGAAGTCAAGTTTTTATTTAAAAATAAATAAAATAAGAAATGAGGTTTGAAAATATCTTTTGAAGTAAAAATATAAATTGGTTTAGGGATAGTGTTAAGACTTTATTAGCAAAGAAATAAAAATTTTCTTATAAATGTCTTTTTTGTATGAATAGAGGATTAGCAGAAAGGGTTTTTTTAATTCAATATTTATTTTATATATTTTATAGCATTAAAAGATATTAAAATTATTATTATTATTTATTTTTTTAAAAGTTCAAATTAAGATTGAAAGAAAAGAACTTATCATTTAAAATTATTAAAATAAATAAAAAAGATCTTTTTAATCTATTAAAAATTTTTTTTTTGATTTGAAGTAACAAAATTTTTAAATATAGCATCTTAAGAAAAATTAATTTTTATTGTAATATAATTATAAATTTCTTATAAAGAAACTATTTTAATCAATAAAATAAAAAAAAATCAATATAGTTAAACCCAGACTTATAAGCTAACTGTTATTTTTATAATATTTTGTTTGTCTATTCTGAATAAAAACTTTTTCTTTTTTCAATTTGGCTATATAATCAGACCATTGTCAATAGTTAATTACGTGATGCACCATACGTTGTACCTGTCGCATTAAGTCAATTTTTGATTAGTTCAGGGCTTGGCAGACCAAATCGGGGAAGGGATACAATGACCATATGATCATTCTTCTCCGGAGAAGAAATATACTCCATATTTGTTAATATCATAATATTATGTGACCTGATCAATCGTATAAATAAGCAATCACGATTCCCACAGACGATACCTTCGGTTTATCATGTCCTCAGGAAAGAAAATTGACTATTCTCAGACTCACTTTGCGGAAATTAGTTCCTCGGGTAGTGGTAATGTGGGTAGCTATATTAACTCGCAGGTTTGTTGTAAACTATACTATCGATACTGTGTAAATTATTGTGCACTACTTTCACCCTAATCTTTATTTTTGATAACCGTAGCCCTTGGAGGTCGGTGTGATGCAGGCTAGCTATTCTAAATCGTACCCGATAAAGGAAAATCCGCATAAATTCTACGGAGACATGGTTAATTGTATTGGGGCTTGCTGCGGATTTTTGGGCTCGGTACGTAGGAACATGTTAAAATAGGTTTCGCCCATAATTATTACTAAATTGTTGTCGGGCAATATGTAGATCCCGATTTGTCCATGTTTCCCTAATCCTTACAGGAGGGTTGAACAGGGTTATGTTGGATTGGTTTCGCGATTTGGTAAGAGTTTGTTTTTTCTTATGACGTCTAAAAATAGGACCAAGAAGCATTTCAATCTGTACAACTTTGATAGGACAATTCTACAAATTCGTCGATCCCGGTTTGGTTAAGGTAAACGTGTACACTGAGGATCTCAAAGCAGTTGATATAAA